AGACCAAAGGCAGAGAAGCCAAGAAGGAGGTCCTAGGTGAAGAATTGTGAGGGCCTGAACCAAGGCCATGGCAGTAGGAATCTGGAGGAAGACATGGATGGGAGAAACATTTACAGGTTGTGGTAAATGATTGGATGTTAAGAGGACAAAGTCTAGAAAGACGCTTGCATTACTGGGTCCCTAGATGTCATTTTTTTTTTAATAACAAGTAAATAATCCTTACCATGTGTCAGGCACTGTTCTATGAGCTTTAGAAATATTGACTCATTTAACTCTCATCATGACCCTGTGAGGTAGGCACTGTTTTATCCCTATTGTACAGATGAAGAGATGAGACACTGAGAGGTTAAGAAACCACCTAGTAGGTAACAGAGCAGGGATTTGAACCCAGGCAGTCTGGCGGCAGAATCCATGCTGTTAACCACAGTTGGAAATATACACTTGAGTTTAGGGAAAGAGGTGGAGATAGAAGACGGAGTGGTCTATTTTTTTTCCCCCCCAAAGCCCCAGTAGGTAGTTGTATGTCCTTCTAGTTGCTGTATGTGGGACACGGCCACAGCATGGCCGGAGAAGCAGTGAGTTGGTATGCGCCCGGGATCCGAACCCGGGCCACCAGCAGCAGGGCTCACACACTTAACCGCTAAGCCACAGGGCCAGCCCCGGAGTGATCTATTAATTCCAGCCCAAACGCTTAGCCTTGTTGTGTGCCATGCAATGGGATAGTCAGACAGTGGGAATAAAGCAAGTAGATATGCTCTGTGTCCTGGAAGTACCCAGGGAGTTGTTGAGAATGGGGACTGAGAAAGACTGAGGATACAACAAAGGGAAACCTACATTTAAGCTAATCATAATTTTTTAAATCATTAGAGAAGACTACGAAGTACCAAGATATACAGAGGAACACCAGGTGAGGAAGGAAGCAAAGTAAAGAAAGAGCTTCGAGAAGAATTGAGAGGCCGACAGTGTCCTCTGTAACAGATGTGGTTGGTGAGAGCCGTTTTAGTGTTGTGATGGGCAGAAGCTACAGTGCTTTTATTTAGGTAAACGTGCCTAAAGTTGAAGTGGAAATCTTTAAGATCCCTAGAAGACAAAGAGGGCAAACAATATGAAAGAAAACAAAATGCAAAAGAACTATAAATGTAAACATGGAAAATATTCAGACCCAGTATTCAAAAAATGGAAATTAAAAATACTGTCTAAATTTAAAACAAATTAAAATTGCAATGTTTATAGACTTCTGCTTCTGGCCAAAGTGGAGTAACAGGGAGTGGATTTCCCCTCTTGCCCAGACAATAGCATCAACAACAAAAAGACAGACAAAATATGTGAACCAATCATTTCAAGACACTGGATGTCAGATGACAAAGGACAGTCACCGCTGAGATGGAAAACCAGCGAGGTGAGCCCTCTGACTGCCTCTGATTGTTGCCTAGAGAGGGTTTCCAGGTTAGGAAACAGGAGAGGAAGGGGGACTGAGGTGGAGCCCAGCAGACTGCTTGAGTCAAGGATATGGAGCTGAGACTCTGGGGAGAGCCAAGCAGCTGGAGTTCATTAGGACAGAACACCAAGAGGAGAGATCTGCAGAGAGTCTCCCTCGAGTAATTGGCATAGATCAGCACGTGTATGAGGGAACCACCAGAGGCCAGGGAAAGAATCCTCGAAAGGGTTAGAGGGAGTTGTACCTGACATTCACATGGGGAATATTGCTTGTTACTACTAGCTAGACGGGAAAATGCTTCTAATTCCGAGATCATTGAGAGTGGAGCTAAATCTATAAAGCACTGAAAGGAAAAATAACTGTCTACTTAGAATTCCATATTCAGCAAAAATGTATTTCAACAACAAAGGCAATACAACCTGCAGAATAGTGGGGAAATATTTGGAAATCATACATCTGAAAAGGGTTTACTATCCAGAATATATAAAGAACTGCAACTCAACAACAAAAAGACAAATGACCCAATTTAAAAATGGGCAAAGGACTTGAACAGACATTTCTCCAAAGAAGGTACACAAATGGCCAGTAAGCACATGAAAATAATGCAAATTAAAACCACAATGAGATATCACTTCACAGCTACTAGGATGTCTATAATAATTCTGAAAATGGAATTACCAGTGTTGGCAAGCATGAGGGGAAACTGGAACCCTTGTATATTGTTGGTGTGAAAGTAAAATGATGCAGGTGCTGTGGAAAACACTTTGATGGGTCCTCAAAAAGCTAAACATAGAGCCAGCCCTGATGGTCTAGTGGTTAAGATTTGGTACTCTCACAGCTTCAGCAGTCTGGGTTCATTTTCCAGTCACAGGACCATACCCACCCGTCTGTCAGTTGCCATGCTATGGTGGCAGCTCACATAGAAGAACCAGAAGGACTTACAACTAGGATATACAACCATGCACTGGGACTTTGGGGGAGAGAAGGAAAAAAAAGGAGGAAAATTGGCAACAGATGTTAACTCAGGGTGACTCCTTCCCTGCTAAAAAAAAAAAAAAAATGCTAAACGTAAAATTGCCATATGACCCAGCAATTTCCCTCCTATGTGTATACCCAAAGAAATTGAAAGCAGGGACTCGAGCAGATACTTGTACGCCAGTGTTCACTGCAGCATTATTCATAGGAGCCAATAGATGGAAACAACCCAGTGTTCATCAGCAGATGAATGGATAAACAAACTGTGGTCTTCCTATACCATGGAATATTATTCAGCCATTAAAAGTAATGAAGTTTTGATACATGCTACAACGTGGATGAACCTTGAAAACGTTATGCTAAGTGAAATAAGCTAGACACAAAAGAACAAATATTGTATGATTCCACTTATATGAAACATCTAGAACAGTCAAATCTGTGGATACAGAAATTAAATTAGAAGTTATCAGAGATTGAGGGGAGGAAGGAATAGGGAGTTATTGCTTAATTTTCAGAGTTTCTGTTTGGGGTGATGAAAAAGTTTTGGAATTAGTATTGATGGTTGCACAACATTGTGAATGTAATTAATGCCACTGAATTGTACACTTAGCAAGGGTTAAAATGGCAAATTTTGTTATACGTATTTTTACCACAGTTTTAAAGATTAATAATGTAATATACTGTTTTGAGAGGTTCGGTGGATTCGATTGGAGACGTAAAAAGAAAGTTTCCACTCCAAACAAATGGACTGAATGTACACTTTATTATATAGAGGCGAGTAAAGGTGATAGTCCACAAACAGATCCAAATAGGTCAGATAATGAGAGGGAAATGACACAAATCGATCGGAAGGGGAAACACCAGATCAACCAAGATAGAAGCAGATTCAAATAGGTCATATAATAAGAGGGAAAAACATCAGATCGATTGGAAAGGGAAACACTAGATCGACTGAAGGGAAATGACACAAATCAATTGAAAAGAGAAACACCAGGTTGACCGAAAAGAGAACACATCAGATCAGTTACTCACAACATCCACCCCCTGCACTGCGGAGAGTCCCTTCAATTGACATGGCTAGGCGGGAGTCTGATCGTCAGAGGTCCTGGGCAAGATGTCCCCCCCCCAGGTGAGACTCTCACCAGGCCTCAGTTTCCAGCAGTTTATATAGCACCAGCAATCTCTAGAGTAAGCAGTTGCAGAGTTTGCAGAGCAAGCATTTAGTGTTTCCATGCACAAATGGTTATCAGTTGCATATGTGCACTGAGCCCCCTGGCTATCATCCCAGCCCGGCAGTTGTGTACGTGCATTGTGCTCCCTGGTTATTGTCCCAGCCTGGCACAGATGGCCAGTCTGTCCTGAGCTACGACGCCCGAAGAGCCTTGTAACGTTATAATTTGCAACTGCCTCTGTGGGAGAAGGGCCAATTCCCACCACACAGAAAGCAGCTTTATGTTTCTTTGTGTGCCGGTGGCTGTAGGTCCGTGGAATGGCCAAACATGGCTGTACTCATGTCAAGACATATACCAAAAACCATTGAGTTGCACACTTTGTACACTTTGGGTGAATTGTATGGTGAGTTATATCTCAATAAAACTTAAAAAAAAAGACAAAATAAAGACATTGTCTGACATACAAAAGCTGAAAGAATTTATTACCCGCAGACCCACAGTACAAGACCCACATTACACATTGAAATCAAACAGAAGTCTGGATCTACCGAAAGCATTGGCAATGGCACTACATAGATAAATATATAGTATTTGTCCTTAATATTTAAATATCTTTAAAAGATAATTGCCCATGTGTTAGTTTTCTATTACTGAGTAACAAATTATCACAAACTTAGCAGCTTCCAACATCACCAGTTGTTGGCTCACAGTTCTGTGGGTAGAAGTCTGACACAGTGTGGCTGGGTTTTCTGCTCAGATATCTAACAGCTGATATCAAGGTGTTGGCTGGCCTGTGTTCTAATCTGGAGGCTCTGGGTAAAAGTCCAATTCCAAGCTCACTCTAATTGTTGGCAGAATTCAGTTCTTGTGGCTGTAGGACTGAGGTCCCTATCTCCTTGCTGGCTGTCAGCTGGGTGCTGCTCTTACCTCTCACCAGCTGCCTGTGTTCCTTGCCCCATGGCACCTTCCACCTTCAGGCCAGCAGTGGCACATCATATTTTTCTTGTGCTTCAAGTCTCTGACTTCTTTCTGTGATCAGCTGGAGAAAACACTTGTTTTCTTATTTGTAAATTGAGGATGTTACGTCAGGTCAGGTTTTGTGGTTTTGTTTTCCTCAGAAAAGAGGATTTGTAGTAGTAGAACCATTCGATTCCAAATGAAATTTAGCATGAAACTCTAGAGATTAAGGGGAAAATGCAATCTACATAGCTCTTTTCTTCCTACTGCTGGGAATTTCAGGCAGTGTAGATGTATTTCTGGAATATCAGAGATATTCCAGAGATTTATGTGGTGGATGTTTGCGTTATACCCAGCTGGTATGAGGGGGTCTAGGCTGATGATTCACGAAGCCTCCAAGTCGCAGCAAACTTTCCTCATGTTTTTTTCTTTTCCCCAGCTTCACCTGCTCGGGATCTGCCATTATTCAAGAAAGTGTCATCAAGAACAAAGAGGGCATGGAAGCCGCGTTGCTAACTGCCCAGTCCCACGTAAGTGGGGCTGCTTGCTTGCTTCTTTGTTTTCCAACAGAGAATCCCTTTTTGCTTAAGTTATGAAGTTCCTTTGTTTAGGAACTTCAGAAATTGTATCTCGGACACCCTCCTCCAGGAGAGTAGCATTAACTTGTTTCTTTATTTGTAGTTTTAGTTTTATTTCCTTTCATACAAAAGAAACACAAGTTTAACAGTAGTGTGGGTGGGAGTCAAATGAGGCGATGTCAAGGACGCTGATGAAACACTCTTCCATCCACACTGAGGAACTGAGCCCACAGCAGGCTTCCACCCCCAAGGATGCGAGAATTGGGGGTGTTGGTGCCCCTTGAGGGTTTCTCTGGTCCCTGGTTGTCTTGGTTGTGTTAATTCCTCCATGAGGAGAAGCTCAGGGACAAGTTATGTCATTATCGAGGGGTAACTGCAACCAAGGCAGGAAGATCTCAGAGGAGGATGGATCCTCTGGGACCAGAATGACCTGGGAGCGTCTGAGTGGGAGACTGGGCTCCTCATGCCTTGTTCAGCGTCTTCCCCTAGAGGATCCCTCGTATGTTACCTCTGCATTTATTGAAAACCCCACCAGAAAATGTTGTAGTTTTTGCTTTCAGTTGTCCTACATATCTTGAAGGATTTAATAGCAGAAAATGAGTCCATTATATTTACCCAGATATTTACTGTTTTTGTTGCTCACCCTTCACTCCTAAGATTTAAAGTTTCTCTCTGGTATCATTTCCCTTCTGCCTGAAGAACTACCTTAGCATGTCTTTTAGAGCAGGTCTGCTAGTAACAAATTCTGTTAGTTTTACTTCATTTCAGAATGTAATTTGCATCATTCCTGAAAAATATTTTCACTGGATATAGAAATTCTGGCTTTTTCTTTCAGTTCTTTTTTTTTCCTGAAAAAAATATTATTCCGCTGTCTTATGACGTTCATGGTTTTTGATGAGACATCCTCAGTCATTCAAGTAGGTTTTTTTCTGTATGTAATTAACAGTTCTTTTTGATGTGGCTAATAAAGGCTTTGCTTCCATATCGTTTCTTTGTCAAATTATTTTGCTACTATTAAAATAAAATCTCTTCTCCATTTTTATATGCCTACCAATGTTTAGAAAAATGTTTTGGATAATTATTTTAGGCCATAAAACATGGCTGGGTTGGCATCCTAAGCATTAAGCTGTTCTTGAACTCAAGGCTGTTTTCCCCTCTTTTCCTGCCTTGAATTAGGTTCTTTGTTTCATATAATTTAAGTGTAGATTTGCTTTTGGTGTCTGATTTTCCTTGCTATAGCTGTTTATAACAAACTTGATTTAAATAAAAGTGCTTTTGACAGTTTCTAACCTAAAGCATAACATGGAACTGGTTTTTAGACAGTAGGTACCTAATAGCCGTTCCTTTTAGGAATTGACCAGGATCCAAAATAAGTGCCACACATTCCTAGAATACATTCTGGTCCATCCTCTTTCCCTACTCCAGTGCTATCCACCTAATCTCTCTTTCTGTCAGTATTCAGAAAAGGGAGGGCAGGGATATACATCTGGCTTAATACAAGTTTTTTTCACGTTGTAGACACTGGTGACCTTCAAGGATATTCTTGTGAACTTCACCAGGGAGGAGTGGAAGCTGCTGGACTCTGCGCAGCAGGTCATGTACAAAGATGTGATGCTGGAGAACTATAAAAACCTGGTTTCCTTGGGTAAGACTAACCTCTGTGTTTGGAGATATACTCCCTGTGATCATTTTGGTTCTTCATTGATCAAAAAGTATGGAATCCCTGAAGCATATATCAGAGTGTGACCTTGGGGTCAGGGACCTAATTTCTTTAGGGCGTAGAACAGGGTTTTTGTACTCCTTCTGCTTTAGTGAAAAAAATTGTTTTTATTTGTTGAATTTTTAAAAATGCGTATTTTGCTGCCTCTGTAGCCTCACTTGGTCTACCCTGCACAGTGCCCCCAGGACTATGAAGGGTTGAATCTGGGGTGCTTTTTTGTGTCCAGCCCAGAGCTCCCCAAGCTTTGCCCAATTCTTTATCTCTTGCTGTGAACAGGGCATCAGCTTCCCAAGCCAGATGTGATCCTCCGGTTGGAGAAAGGGGAAGAGCCGTGGCTGTTGGAGAGAGGGATTCAGCAGGAGACCCATCCAGGTGAGGACCAGATAAGAGGTGTTACAGGCGGTAGCCAGCTAACTGTGACAGGCTAGAATCCCTGGAGAAGGTGGCCACTAGTTCTCCTCATTTCCGAGGAGAAGACTGAGTTTATTTACCTTCTGTTTCGCCATGGCGAGTCTTCTTTCTTCAGTCTTGTCACACTTCCATTTGTATTCAGAGACAAGAATGTTTTACTGCTTCATTAAAATTATCTTTCTGTTGATGTGCTTGGTTTCGGCCCTGTCCGTATTGCTTTCCATATTATTACCACTAACTCTAGCATCCCTATTCTCTCATTTTTCATAGAATCATTTCTTTCATCTTTGCCTGTCTTTTCGCTTTCATATGGCCCCTTCCCACAGCCTCAGTTCTGCCTCTTTGGTAAGCTCTGCAGTGGGACTCCATCCTGCCCCTCTTCTGAGTGTGTTTTCTGCCAGTTAGAAAACTGCTGCAGAGGGCTCACCAGCTCCTATTGGCTTAACCCTCTTTCCTTTCCAGAATTGCTGCTCAAATCACCTGTTTTCTAACCATACGCTAGCTCTTTATTTAATGTTTTTTCAATTTATACCTCTTTCATTTTAATCTTAATATCTCTAAAATGTCCTAATGTCATTCTTTTCCCAAATTCCCTGTGTATAGAAAATGAGCCTTCTTGGTTAAGAAGTAGAAAGTAGTTTTCCATCTTTCTTCTCCTTTAGTCTCTGTAAGTGATCTTTTCCCTGACCTTTGTTTCTAAGCTCAGTACTCTGATGTCTTTCTCCTCAGCCATCTTGAGGGTTGCTGTCTGAATCATATTGCAAATAGCCTACTTCGCATGGTGCAGAACAGCCAGGGCGCTTGCCAGTGACTGACCCCATGTAGGTTCATCCAGACACATAGCTTCTCAAGTCCAGTGCAATCTAGTCACCATGTTGTAAGGACCTACAGTCGTTTCCATCTGGTACCTAATGTCCACATGTATCAGGCGTTTCCCTCCATCTCAGGCTTTGAGTATGATGTAAATAAAATCTGTCAGAGTCTTAGTTGTCCTGTAATTTTCACCTCAAGACCTTTCTCTGTGAAACCTTTTATGACTTTCAATTCACTGTTAAGAACTTGATCAGTCAGCTGCTTTGGGCCCTGGGAGGGAAGATTATTCTCTGTTTTCTTTTTTTTTTTTTTTAATTTTATTTATTTATTTTTTTCCCCCCAAAGCCCCAGTAGATAGTTGTATGTCATTGCTGCACATCCTTCTAGTTGTTGTATGTGGGACGCAGCCTCAGCGTGGCCGGAGAAGTGGTGCGTCGGTGTGTGGCCGGGATCCGAACCCAGGCCGCCAGCAGCAGAGTGTGCGCACTTAACCGCTAAGCCACGGGGCTGGCCCTATTCTCTGTTTTCTTTCATTTTTCTATTACTTCCTTTATTTTTTCCATTCATGTGTTCATTCATTTCACAAGCTTTCCTGGATGTTTGTTGACAGGTATCCAAAAATAACTGAATAGATCTAGCAGTTTTGATTTTTTATTAAGAATTTGTTGTTGGGCCGGCCCCGTGGCTTATCGGTTAAGTGATCACACTCCGATGCTGGCGGCCTGGGTTCGGATCCCGGGCGTGCACCGATGCACCGCTTGTCCGGCCATGCTGAGGCCACGTCCCACATACAGCAACTAGAAGGATGTGCAACTATCACATACTGCTATCTACTGGGGCTTTGGGGGAAAAATAAATAAATAAAATTATAAAAAAAAAAAAAAAAAGAATTTGTTGTCAAAAGAAATACTGAAACACCATGTGCTTAAACACATGGAATTTAAGGGAAGCTACAAGGCTATGTGAACTTCATTATCAAAATGAAAAGTATAATGAGTGATGGCTTTAAAAATTCATGGATGCTACAGATTTTGAAGATGACTCACTTGAGTGGTTATGTTACATAATACCTGGAAGATTTTTATGATTTTGATAAAGGAAAGCACCCCATTCATATGTTCAAATAATCAGAGTTTTTCTCCATCAGTACTCAGCCCCCACTTCTCATCACACAGGTTCACTGTAGAAGTTTCTAGTTGGCATTTGTAGCTTGAAAAACTTCTCCATGGGATTCTGATGCCCTGGGCATAGGGGAGGGGAGGAAAAGGATGGTGTATTTCCTATCAAAAATCAGGAAGGTGGAAGTGTATATTTACAATGGCATAAATTCAACCTTAAAAAGGAAGGGATTTCTGTAGTATGCTACAACATGGATAAGCTTTGAGAATATTATGCTTAGTGAAATAAAGCTGGTCACCAAAGGACAAATAGTGTACGATTCCAATTATATGAGGTACTTAAAGTAGTCAGAATCATAAAGACAGAAAGTAGAATTGTGGTTGCCAGGGGCTAGGTTGAAGGGAGAATGGGGCATTACTCTTTGCTAGGTATAGGGTTTCAGTTTTACAAGATGAAAAAAGTTCTGGAGATGGATGGTGGTGATTGCTGCATAACAATATGAATGTACTTAATACCACTGAACTGAACACTTAAAAATGGTTAAGATGGTAAATTTTATGTTATGTATATTTTACCACAATAAAAAAAAAAGAAAAATAAATCAGAGTGGGGAAGAAACTAGTAACTAACAAAGTTGTGAATGAAAATTAGGACTGATGGGTGTTGGGTTGTACAAAGAACGCAGTTAGGAGCCTGGCACAGGGATTATTTACCACATGTATTAGTTTCCTGGGCTGCCAAAACAAAGTTCCACAAACTTGGTGGCCTCGAACAACAGAAATTTATTGTCTCACAGTTCTAGAGGCCAGAAGTCTGAAATCAAGGTGTTGGCAGGGCCATGCTCCCTCTGAAGCCTCTAGGAGAGGATCATTCCTTGCCTCTTCCAGCTTTGGTAGCCCCAGCTGTTCCTTGGCTTGTAAATGCATCACTCCAATCAGCCTCCATCTTGGCGTGGCGTTTTCCCTGTGTGTCTGTCTCTGTATCTCCTCTTCTCTTCTTGTAAGGACACCAGTCATATTGGATTGGGGCCCACCCTACTCCAGTACTACTTCATCTAATTATATCTGCAATGATCCCATTTCCAAATAAGGTCACATTCTGAGATATTGGGGGTTAGGACTTGAACATATCTTCTTTGGGAGGTACAATCCAATCCATGGACCAGATAGGAGTAGACTGTCACCCCACTTATGTAGGAAGAGGTGGTAGTGTGTAAATCATGGGGTTTTTTCTTGGTTAGGAACTAAACACATTACCTGAAAGGCATTGAAAAACAAACATAGGCTCTTAGTAGGGGGAGTAATTTGCAGTAATACCTGTGGGTACAAGCAGAAGGGTGAAAAGTCCAGGAGAATATGAGTTAGTGTGTAGGTTCTCAGTTAGTGTCCTGTGGTGCTAGTCCTCTCAGTTGTTAAGTCTTGATGTCTCAGAACAAAGTACTCAAAATAGGAGACAGGAATAGTGATTACTATAAATGGTATCACTTTGACTATACATGTGTCAGAGACTGTGATGAGCTCACACCCTGTATAATACTTATGATAATCTTACACGAGCAAATGCCGTCATCCTTGGATTATAGATAAGCAAAATGATTTTTGAAAAGTTTAGCAACTTGTTAGAGTAAACTGCTAGTAGTGGTAAAGCTTAAATTAGAACCTGTGTCTGGGTAGCTTCCGTGCTCTTGCCCTTCCAGCCCATCACGCAGCCTTTCTGAGAGGTGTGTTGTGTCAGTCGTCTGGGCGTTACTCTGTAGTGCTTTGGTGATGTAGATGAAAGGCGTTGCCTGACCTATGGCTGCGTTCGTGGTTTAGGAATATTAGATTGGCAGTAGTATGAAGAATACTTGTCCGGGGAAGGGCCTGGCAACAAGTAGACATGTTAGGTTCTTATGTCAGTAGTAGTGGGATTAGATAATGGGAGTGCAGTCCTTTTTGTGGGCTTCCCTTATTGCCACTGCACCCTGCATATCCTGATCCCATGCATCATGCCCAGGCCTGTGGCTTTACTCTCTTTGCTCTTTTTACGGCTTTTATGTACTAGGTACCTGATGACGCATTTCCTGTTTACTGCTCTGTTCCTCCCTTTCTCATTCTCTGTCAAGGTTACAGAACCATATTGGAAAGCAACTCTGCATGGTTTACATACTTTGTCTCCACGTACATCCCACCATTCTGACCTTAATACTTTTTTTAGTTATGCAAAGCTTTTTCATTTCTTTCAGATTTGGAGACTGCAGTTGAAATTAAATCATCAGTTTCCGGTAAGAGCATTTCCAAAGATAAACAATCCTATGACATTAGAATGGAAGGAATGGCAAAGAATGATCTCTGGTATTTGTCGTTAGAAGAAGTCTGGAAATGTGAAGACCAGTTGGACAAGTATCAAGAAAACCAGGAGAGACATTTGAGGCAAGTGGCATTCACCCAAAAGAAAGTACTTACTCAAGAGAGAGTCTGTGAAAATGGTAAATATGGGGGAAACTGTCTTCTTCCTGCTCAGCTAGTACTGAGAGAGTATTTCCAGAAACATGACTTATGTACTAAAACTTTAAAACATGATTTAGTTTTTAGTGGTCATCAGGAAAGCTATTCAGGTAACAGTAATGAATGTGGTCAAACCTTCTGTCAAAACATTGACCTTATTCAATTTACAAGAACTCAAACAGATAAATCTTACAAATCCCCTGATAATGATAACTCTCTTACTCATGGTACATCCCTTGGTATATCGAAGGGTATACATAGAGAGAAACCCTATGAATGTAAGGAATGTGGAAAATTCTTCAGCTGGCGCTCTAATCTTACCAGGCACCGGCTTATTCATACTGGAGAAAAACCCTATGAATGTAAAGAATGTGGAAAATCTTTCAGTCGGAGTTCTCACCTCATTGGACATCAAAAGACTCATACTGGTGAAGAACCCTATGAATGTAAAGAATGTGGAAAATCCTTCAGCTGGTTCTCTCACCTTGTTACCCATCAGAGAACTCATACAGGTGACAAACTGTACACCTGTAATCAGTGTGGGAAATCTTTTGTTCATAGCTCCAGGCTTATTAGGCATCAGAGAACTCATACTGGAGAGAAACCTTATGAATGTCCTGAATGTGGGAAATCTTTCAGACAGAACACACATCTCATTCTGCATCAGAGAACTCACATTAGAGTGAGGCCCTATGAATGTAATGAATGTGGGAAGTCTTACAGCCAAAGATCTCACCTTGTTGTGCATCATAGAACTCACACTGGACTAAAACCCTTCGAGTGTAAAGATTGCGGAAAATGCTTTAGTCGAAGCTCTCACCTTTATTCACATCAGAGAACCCATACTAGAGAGAAACCATATGAATGCCGTGATTGTGGAAAATCCTTCAGCCAGAGTTCTGCCCTCATTGTGCACCAGAGAATTCATACTGGAGAGAAACCATACGAATGTTGTCAGTGTGGGAAAGCCTTCATTCGGAAGAATGACCTTATTAAGCATCAGAGGATTCACGTTGGAGAAGAAACCTATAAATGTAATCAGTGTGGAATTATCTTCAGCCAGAACTCTCCATTTATAGTACATCAGATAGCTCACACTGGAGAGCAAATCTTAACATGTAATCAGTGTGGGACAGCACTTGTTAATAGCCCTAACCTTATTAGATACCAGACAAATCATTTTAGAGAAAATACTTATTAATATAGTGAATATGGAAAATTCTTCACAAAGAGCAGTAACTTTATTTTGCATTGGGGAACTCCTTTTGGAGAGAAGTTGTACAGGTGTAATCTATGTGGAAATGCTTTCAACCTTGTTACCACCATTTTGTGCACTAGAGAATTGGTCCTGGAGGGGGAAAAACCCACAGATATTATTTTAGTACACAAATATGTCAGATTTTCTTCTTTCCACAAATTCCTGCAAAAGTAATTGGCCTGGGAGCATTCTTGACCAAGCCTTATGTGCTAAAATCAAAGGAAACATTAAGCAGGGGAGTTGTTGAGACCGTGCAGCTTTATTACCTTCTTCAAAAATATAAATAAATGAAAATGCTACTTCAAAAAGATAAATAGATGAGAGTTGTTGCTGAGAAGAATAAAAAGTTGATATAGGTATTGTAACAAAAGATGGGAAATAATATTCCAGTGAATTATTAAGCCATTTGTTACTTGGTTGTCCCTCTTTTCTGAGACACTTAGTAGTGTTTAGTCTGCTTTACGTGTCTAATATAAACTATTTTTCGGTTAGCAGCAGGGAAGATGCTTATAATGTAAAGCAGAAAAAGAACAACACATTTACTAGTAGTACCCATTTTTAAATATATTTGCATGTGGGCAAGAATTGAAAAAATATCTATAGATAAATGAACAGAATTGATTTGTTAGATAATGGGATTTTGAGTTCGTTTTATAGTCTTTTCATTGTTACTGTAATAGTTATTTGAAAACATTTTTAAATATTAAAAAAAAGATATCTAGTTTCTCTATTTCACCATCAAGGAAGCTTGAGAACCACCTGCTAGCAAACTTCCCTTAATTCTAAGTCATTCGGCTCACAGTTAGAGTTGTGCTCTTTGAAACAGGGTGCTAAAGGCTCCTGGGATTTTAAAAACAGTGATTCTCTGGACATTGGGACTTAGAGGAATATTTGGTATTTGAACACACCAGGGAGGTTCTCTGTTTGAGTGGGAGCAGGTACCTGGGCAGTGCTTAGAGTAAGTATGCTCATGAAATAAATACAGCAGTGCCCAAAGCCACCCTCTTTGCAAGGTAGTCTTTTGTCTTATGAAGAAAACTTAGTTGTTAGGAGCATAAGCTTGAGTTCGCATACCCAGGTTGAAATCCCACCTCTGTCTGTAACTTACTTGTGAACTTGGGCATGCTACCTCGCGCTCTGTGCCTGACTTATGATATCCTCCTCTGTAAGTTAGGGATAAGATCACTCACCTTGTCAGATTGTGGTATTAAATGAATAAACGTATAAACAGCTTAGAAAAGTGCCTGATGTATGTTAAGTACTTTATAATTATTAGCTGTGATTATTAATGTTACCGCTATTGCCTGCCCCAGTGTCATTTAATGTAAACCTGCTTGAGTGCTAGTAAGAAAACATTGAGTTCCCACTTCCGTTTTAGTCATATGTGTTTTTCCCTTTTACCTGCATCAGAACTTAGCAACCTGAGGAAACCACTCACCCAGAGTGGGTGTATGGATTCATTTCTGAGGATCAGTAAACGACTTTTAATATTGTATGCAAAATTATTTTGTTTATACAGTGGTTTTCTCTTCTAGGGAGAGGATCCTAATCTTCAGATTCACTGGTAAATCCGTGACCCAAAAAAAACTTAGAGAATCTATTTTAATTCTCTGTTTCATCCTATAAATGGATCTGTGTGTGGGGACTGACCATTATGTGCCATTTTCTAGCAAACATATATATTAGGTGCTCACTGATTGATTATTGAATGATAAATAAATATTACTGAGATCAACAAGACAAAGCTCCTGGCGTCTCTCCCGGGAAAGTCTAGAAGTGATTGTTAGAATCGCGAGACTTGAGACTACAGGGAGCATGAGACCATGTCACTTGCACTCTTCACTGCAGTTGAGATAAGGGGAGTTGGCACAGCCCTCACGTTCTGAGTGAACAGACCCAGAACTAGATCCCAGTGACTGCTGCTCTCCGCAGTGCTTACCTGCCATTCATGTGTTTGACACACTCCTGTCAGAAATAGTTTTCATCATAAGCAGTGGTTCTTTGTGGCAGTAGAAGAGCAGCCCCTTAATTGAGCCTCTTAGAATTTCTGATAACTAATGGCTGAATTTTCCTCAACTGTGTAATGGAGATACCACTAGTGTCTACCTCGGAGGGTTGTTGTGTGGATTAAGTGAGATAATGTGTATAAAGTACTTAAAACAGTACCTGGCACATAGTAAGTACTATATGTGTTAGCTATTAATAATTATACTACTATTATTAGTACCCAAAGGAATGTGGGAAAAGATATATATGTATGGATGATCACTGAAACATTACTTATAATAGTGCAAAATTTGCAATATAAAAAATGGATAATAGCAAAATGATTATAGCATATCAGTGTAATGGAATAGTATGCAAACATTAAGATTATGCAAACAAAGTTTGATAACAAAAAATGTTGATGCTGTGAAGTGTTATTTAAAAAAGCATGATAAATAATAGTCAATATAGAATAAGCTCAAATATGTAAAAATAAATGAATTGTAAAAAAATGAATCTTGCTCAAAACAAAGGAAATTTGTCAAAAGATTAACAGCAGTTAACCTACATATTGAGAGAATTGGTGTTTGCTTTTCTATTTTTTTGTACTTTTCTATTCTTTGCAAAGTCTCTTCACAGAATATATATTACTGTTAGGATCAGCAAAACAATCTCTTGAGTGATGAAATATATTCTCTTCAGAAGTTCTTACCTACAAAAAGCTACTAGAATCTTAATAAGGGAATTTGGCAAGGTCACAGGATACTAGATCAATATACAAAAATTGATTTCTGTGTACTAGCAGGGAACAATTTGAAAGTGAAACCAGAAATATAATCCCACTTACAGTGATACAAAAATGTGAAATACTTAGATAAATTTAATGAAATGAGCAAGATTTGTACAGTGAAAAGTATGAAATATTGCTGAAAGAAATTCAAGAACACATAATAAAAAATACATAATGAATGGAGAAATTTACCATGGTCAAGGGTGGGAAAACCCAATATTGTTAAGATGACAGTTCTCCCCAGGTTAATCTTTAGGTTCAGAGGCATTTATGTGGAAATTGACAAGCTAATCAAAAATGTATATGGAGATGCAAAGGATCTAGAATAACCAAAGCAATTTTTTAAAAAGAACAATGTTGGAGGGCTTACACAACCTAATTTCAAACTTTACTGTAGAACTATACTAGTAAAATGTTGGCATGAGGATAGATATAGATCAGTAAAACAGGATAGAGTCCAGAAATTGACCTACACATGTTGTCAATTAAATTTTGACACAAGTGCCGAAATAATTCAATGTGGAAAAGAGTCATTTAAACAAATGATGGTGTAACAACTGGATATTTGTATGGGGAAAAAAAACCCTCCCCTTACCTCACATTACATACAAAAAATAACTAAAAATGCATCACAAACCTAAATGCAAAAGCTGAAACTTTTATTTTATTTTTTTTGTGAGGAAGATCAGCCCTGAGCTAACATCTATGCTAATCCTCCTCTTTTTTTTGCTGAGGAAGACCGGCTCTGAGCTAACATCTATTGCCAATCCTCCTCCTTTTTTTCCCCAAAGCCCCAGCAGACAGTTGTATGTCATAGTTGCACATCCTTCTAGTTGCTGTATGTGGGACGCAGCCTCAGCATGGCCAGAGAAGCGGTGCGTCGGTGCACACCCGGGATCCGAACCTGGGCGGCCAGTAGCGGAGCACGCGCACTTAACCGCTAAGCGATGGGGCTGGCCCCTGAAACTTTTAAATATCTAGAAGGAAACAGAAAAAATGTTTATGGCCCTGGGCTAGGCAAAGATTTCTTATAGCATGAGTCATAAAAGAAAAATGATAAATTAGACTTCATAAAAGTTAAAAATTTAAGTTCTTTGAAAACACTGTTAAACATAAAAAGGCAAGCCATAGACTAGTATATATTCATAGTACATGTATCTGACAAAGATTTGTATCTAGAATACAGAGAACTCTTATAACTTGTAAGTTATAAGATGACAAACCAATAAAAAGAAAAATATGCAAAATGTTTTACCAGATGCTTCATAAAAGAATACATATGAATGCCAAGTAAACCTATGTCAAGATGCTCAACATCATTCGTCATTAGGGAAATACAAATCAAAACCACAAGGAGATAGCACTTCACATACAGTAGCGTGACTAAGATAAAAAAGTAACAATTGCTAGTGAGGATTGGAGAGATTAGAACCCTCATACATTGCTGGTGGGATTATAAAATAGTACAGCCACTTTGGAAAACAGTTTACCATGTCTTCAAAATGGTAAACCTACAGTTATCATATGACCCATCAATTCCATTCCTAGGTAAATACCCAAGAGAATTGAAAACATGTCCATGCAAAAAAAACATGTCCATGAATGTTCAGCATTATTCATAGTAGGCTGAAATTGGAACAAATATAATAAACACAACAGATATCATGTATAATAATTCACAAAATGTGAATGGATAAATTGCAGTGCAGCCGTATAATGGAATACTACTCAGCAATAAAAAGTAATAAACTAATGATATACCCAACAGCATGGTTAAATCTCAAAAACATTCTAAGTGAAAGAAGTCAGACACAAAAGAGCACACACCATGTAACTCCCATTTGTAAAATTTTAGAAAACATAATCGATAATGACAGCCGATAAATCCGTGGTTGCCTGTGTCTGAGGGTGGGAGAATGACTGCAAATAGGACCATAGGGAACCATCGGAATGATCTGTATCTTGTTTGTGGTGGTGGTTCCATGACTGTTCATTTGTTAAACTCATCAAACTATGCACTTGAAGTGGATCCAGTTGTATGTAAATTTTACCTCAATAAAGTTGATTTTTAAAAAATATTTGGGGGCCGGCCCCGTGGCTTAGCAGTTAAGCGCGCACTCTGCTACTGGCGGCCCAGGTTCGGATCCCGGGTGTGCACCGACGCACCGCTTGTCCAGCCATGCTGAGGCCGCATCC